CCTCCCCCATCCCATTGGCGGGGAGCGAGCAAACAGCTGTGTGGTGTTCAGCTGCCTGCCAGGTTAAACCATGACACTACGGAAAGCAAACAGCTGAATTTTAGAGTATTTTTTGTCTCCTCTATTATTTTCTTCCCATTTAACATCAGAATTCAGACTTGTGCCCTACTGGCATTAATAGTAGTTATTGCTCAGTTACTCATATGGCGGGAAAAAGAGAGTATTTCGTCCAAGTATCTAACCTGTTCCCACGTGAGTATTTGTATTCACATGGCACTTACAGTCTCTAAGTGAGATCAAGGCCTTGTTAGCAGTGTGTATGCATTAAAATAGCAATAGGTATATTAATGCATATACACATTTTTTTTTATATATATATATATATACACACACACATATATTTTAATGCTATGATATCTGTCCTTTGAGTTTAAATAGTCAAGAGAAATAAAAGTGAGGACAAAGAAAATATTTTGCCTGAATGAAAATAGGTAGAGGAAGCTTAACTGAATTTTGGAAGTATAAATCATGCTGAGGAGACAGGATGGCAGTAGTATTCCGCAGGTCCCTGACCTGTCATTGAGAGTGTTATTTTATTTCAACATGTCCTTCCACTGCTAAAATATTAAGAAACTAAGGACATTTCTGTAACTTTTTCTTTTAAATTCTCATTATACTTCCTATAGAATTTTTGAGGTAGAGGGAATAGATAATCTAATTCTAATATCCAGCTGAAATAAAAAGAAAGTGGCAAAAAAAAAAAAAAAAAGACAATGAAGTCATAAAGCAGAAAATGAAAGTGGTAAGTGTCAAAAGCATACACAAGGGGGAAAACCTTAAAAACCAAAAAATGATGAAAGAAAACTTCTCCTACAGAATAATTAAATTTCAAGATTTTGAAGAAACAGGAGCCTACGAATGACCTTCAAAGCATCCCAGCCTGTCTCTCAGAATTTATACACAGGAAAGGAAGAACATAAGAGCTTATCTTTATCATGAACGCTTTTGGCTTGATACAAATTGGCCTCATACTGTTGAGCACTACCACCATCTCCAGTCTGCAGTGTAATCACCTTCCTTTACAGCAAAGAAAAGTGATCGAGAACAGCCTGCAACTTTTGGACAAAATGGGCAAAAAGTTTCCTCAACAATGTCAAAGAGAGAAAATGTCCTTCAGATTTCCTGAGCAGGTTCTAAAGCCCAGACAGAAAGAGACTGTCAAAGTGGTCATTGAAGAGATCTTCCAACACATCTTCTATATCTTTAGCAAGAATCTGACTCTAGCTGCTTGGGATGGGACAGCTTTAGAACAATTCCAAAATGGACTTTATCAGCAAATTGAGCAATTGGAGGCATGTGCACTCAAGAAGCAGACCCACTACTTTCAGAGTAAAGAAGTCAACAGGCTGAAACTGAAAAAGTACTTCAAAAAAATAGACTGTTTTCTTAAAGACAAACAACACAACCTGTGCTCCTGGGAGATCAGCCGTGCAGAAATGAGGAGATGTCTTCAATTGATTGATAAAGTCATAAGGAAGCTTAACAACTAAGGTACAAAGATTTTCACCTCACAAAACTTAGCTTTAAAAATATTTATATTTATTATTTTTTCTATGCTCTATCTTGTATCTTGTGGCAGTGCTTCTAGTTCATTTTGATTGTATTTAAATTATTATGTGCTGAAATTTATTTTTGCAAATGTAATGCATTATTCAATGTAAGTAAATTTTTCCCTTGGTAAGCAAGGTGTCTACACTAGCTATAAATTAATCTATGTAGATTTTTCAGTGTGGGTTACTCCATAGGAAGAGATTGTAATCTTATGACAAATAGTGTCATCCTACGGTGTTTTCTGCTGAGAAAATGTGCTGCTACTTTCCATCTCTATTTCACCTGATATAGAGAATCATGTATTTGTGAATGGACTACATAATCCTCACCTTAGAGGAATTGCCAGATTTGACCTGGTTGAGACTGCATGAAAAATAAAGTAGTATATTGTTTATTTAAGTGGTCCTGGCTTAGGTTGAGACCTAATTATTCTTTCAAAGTTTGTATGCTCTTTTCCAAGAATGTATTGTTTTTTACATCTGAGTCATTCTAACATTTGCTTTGTTCAAAGAGGTAAAGTAATTCTAGAAGGATTTGTCTACATAGGATATTGTTTGCAGTAGCTATGGCTTCTGCAGTAATTTCTCAGTTGGGCATTGTCACCTTTAATTGAAGTATCTGTGCCTCCTTTAACGATCTGGGGGAGACGATTTTTTTCCTTCCTGCTGTGTTTTCAATTCATTTTAACTTCTTTCACAAGCTTATTTGAAATAACTTCTCTACATAAAAGCATGCTAAAGCCACACCTGCCTGTGGCACATCCTACTTGCTCATGGACATACTCATCTTGGCTACTGCAATGTTAAACATCATCATTCGGTGATGTGTTTTATTGCTACATGAAATTTTCTACCTCTTTCCC